TCACAAGGCTACTTATCTACCTTTATGGCCACAAGGCTACAAAAAATCATAAAACTGTTCTCATGTCAAAGTAGTTTCCTTGCTAATTATGATATTTAGAATTAGCATTGCCATTTACCAAAGTCATCAAAATCTTGAATTAAGTGCTTGAAAAGTTATATTGAGTCTGTTTCCTCAGAGAATGCACATTCAACAATTTTCAAGTCAAACTATTTGGTCCATGATAATAACTGAAATCTAAACAATTCACTGAGAAATCAAATGATCTGCCCAACTGATTCACTGAATAAGTGCAATACCCAAATGTGATCATTAACTTGATAATCAAATCCATTCCTAGCTCTCTGACTTACAAAAGGGTAATTAAAAAGTAAAAGTGTTGATTTGAACTAACCCGCTTTTTATGCCTATATAGCCCTGTATTAAACTATCAAGTATTAAATATATATTGAGTCAAAAATAACATCTGATTAATAATACTTTTGAGTTATGGTATACTGTAGCACAAATGTTCATGCAATTTTTTATTTGTCTGGATTATTTTAAGTATATAGCACAATGTGAACATTGTGAAATCAGACCCAAGCTTTTTTACTCTGATGTTATTTCCATTTCCTGTAAATCCCATCCCTGCATTTCTAACAATGTGGGGTTATTTGCCAAAATAGTATATTTTTATTGCAGATGTAAAGTTGTCTACCTGTCTTATAGTGGAGGCTATTAAGTATTTCATTTTCTTTAGCATATTTTGTGAGACTTTAAGAGGTCCATGTAAACTCAAATACAATTCTGGCAAGCTACTTTTAGAAAATAACGAAGAATAAAGCCGTCACTCAATAGACACTACTACCAAACTGTTTTTTAAAATATCTGTAGTTGAGAGTAACCCTATGCAATGCATTATTTATAGGAACTTAACATACATTTCATAATTTCGACTGTGCTTTAAGAAGGAGTTATTTGTACAGGTCACATAATCTATTTACTAGTCTATCTGATTTGTACTTCATATACTCTGTAGTGTCCAGTGCTCACACTGAAAGTGCTGTCACTGAAGTGCTGTGCTCATGTTAATTGACAAAACTAAATACTTCCCACTAACCTAACTCTTTTTGCAAAATAAAGCAAGACATACCAAATTAATTTAACTTTAAATAATGTATTGGCTACAAATTAAATATTTTAACATATAATTTAAGTGTGCTACTTTGCTACACTGCTAACACTAAATCTAATTAGACTGAAGTAATATTATGAAAATAAAATATATGTCAAAAATATTTAAATGAGTTATAAAGAGAAAATAGAGTTAGTAACCTCATCTGAATTATGATAAAAATAGCAGGAAAGCTGTAACAGCTTTATGATGATTTTTCTTCTCAACAAATAGCTGAGAGAGGAAAAAAAATGGTGTTTGTGATGACAGTGCTATCTTTGAAGCACATAATTTTATAATAGAAATGTTTTAAATTGGGAAATCTCCTGGGTTAAAATATGATAATTGTGATTTTTTCCTTGCAATGAAAAGCCACATAAAATGAACATTTATTTTCAAATAGAGCAAAATGTGTCAAATACAGCAAAACATATATACATGCATTTATAATGATTTATATTAAATTTTAAACTACTACCTTAATGTTAAAACAAATAATTTTTAGGTTGTTGGAATATGCACATTTTTATATATTAAATTGCAAAGGTAAGGAAATGACTGCATAACAAAAACATGGTTTAGACATGAGATTTCTAAAATTCTTGTTCTAATGTCAAAATATGCATTTCATGTTCCTCACTATTCATAGCTGGGGCATATATCTCAAGTTTTTCTTTTTGTGATTAAAGCAACTGATACATCAAAAATGTATCTTACTATTTAATACATTAGTGATCACTACAACATAAAGAGAAAAAGGAAAGTACTGTGCAAGGATGACAAAGTTGTATACAGCAAGTTCCATTAAAAACCTACACTTAAATCTTAAAAATGTTTGCACCAAAGGAAAACAAATGGTCTTGTCTGGCCATAGTTCACTGAGCAGCCTTACATGGTTTTCATTTGCCTTGTTTCATCCCCCACTTGGATAGGAACCTCTTAACTGTTTTCTTTCATGCTTTTTTTTTTCTCTCTTACCTCCACTCCACCAGCACGCATATTCTCTCTCTCTCTCTCTCTCTCTCTCTCTCTCTCTCTCTCTCTCTCTCTCTCTTTCTCTCTCTCTCTCTCACTCTCTCTCTCAC